TAGTTATAATAATAAGACATACCTATAAGAAATGGTTTATCATTAAGGATTGAGTTCGAGTAGGTCCGTATTGTTTTCACGTCCAAATACATTGTTTCCTCTTAATCTTACATTTTTTTATTATTTATTTATTTATTTATTTATTTATCTTATCTATATATATATATATATTAAAAGCCAACCTATTTACCAAATATAGTAACAAGAAAAGTCAACACACATTAATGCATACCTTATTTGAAATTTTTTTACTATATGCATTAAATGCTTGCATATTTACATTTATTATCCAGATATGATCTTAAAGATTTTTTTCCTTAAATAATTTATGCAATAATTTTACTGATATCCATTATAATTAATATTTGTCGAGTAATATTTTCTAACCTTTAATTAATTATATAAAACTAATATTTTTTTTAAAATAATATTATTTATCATTTAAAAGATAATGATCACATCATTAAATTAAATAATTTTATTAGATAATAAAATTATATTAGTTATTCTTTAAAATTTTTACTAAAATAAAAACCCGCTTAAGAAAATAAATCTCATAACATCCGATAAGTCAAAAAAAGTACGTAAAATCTTTACTAAAATAAAAAAAGACTTTATTTATTTGTCTTATTCCATAATAACATCGATTTAGTCAAAACAAACCCCATAATCGGTGAAGTCAAAAAATGTTCGTAAAACCTATTTATACTAAAAAAAGGCAGATTCAAAATTCCTTATCTAATTTCTGTTTAAAGCATTTTATTTTATATTTATTTATATGAAATATTGGATAGAATTGCTGGATTTGAGTCAATTTTGAAATCGCGTTGTTTGGTATGAGAGGATTATCTGCATCATATATCTGTCTAAAGCATACTATTTTATATTATTTAATTAATTTATTTAATATTATTTTTTTTTATCTATGATATCAGTTTTGTCAAAAAAATTGAACAAACAAACAAATAAAAAAGAAACGGGATTAATTACCTTCGACTTCTAAAAAATTTATGGGTGGACATAAATATTTAACAATGCTGTTTCAAGTTCCTTAAATAATACTATAACTATGATAATAAAATATAATGTGTTTTATGAGTGACGTAAATATGCTGTTTAAAGTTTCCTAAAATAAGTTTTTAAAAAAATTATGATGTTTAAAGTTCCTTAAATATTAATATATTTGAAGTATACACATGTTGTAATATATTAAAGTCAAAACAATGTTGGAAGGCTTTTGAATGATCTAAGTTAATTAATTTAAATGTTTAATCCCATTTATCTTCAATCCATGGAATATTTTTACTAATCCCGTGAGCATGTTGTTTTGTTATTGTAATCAACTTATACACTATTTTACTAATAAATTATTTAATATCTATGTACAATGAGGTCTTTAATAATATATAATTTTTTTTTTGTCAGATACTATTTTATTGTATAATTTCCTGCGTACTATAAAACTTTTATTGAATATTGTATCTTATAATATAATATTCCCTAAATAAATATATCTAGTGTCTCGCACCGGTCCCGTACTATATATATCTCGTACATTTTTTATTCATTTATATAACTATAAGGCTGGATAAATAACCTTAAAATTGTGCACCCCGTACATGGCACGGGCTCTGTATTAGTTTTAACTAGTACAACACCCGTGTATTACACGGGTGCTTGCTAATTTTTTTCTTAAAATCTAAAATTAATGAGAAAAAGTAGTTTGAAAATTTAAATACCTTTAATAATAAAAAATAATAATATTTATTAAAATCCATTAGAAAAATAAAATTATTTTTCAATTGATTTATTTATATGTAATGTAGTTATATATTGTGTGTTAAAAGTATAATATAACACAAGTAAGTTGCACAAATAAAAAGTGCCATAATAAATATATAATAATATGTATATTCTTATAAAAGGTATTTAAATTTTCAAAGATCAGTACCTTTTCTCATTAATTTTAGATTTTAAGAAAAAAATTAGCAAGCACCCGTGTAATACACGGGTGTTGTACTAGTTCTAATATATAACATAATAATTTATACTAATATATTTTTTTTCAAAAAAGTATCATTTCTAATTTATATTAATATAACTTATACTAATTATACTAATATCATTTTTTAACTGTATATGTTGTTAGTTCATTTTATCCTCAACAAGTGCATAACAAACATAACCCGAAATTTAACGACTGGATATAATAAATAACTCTTTGAGGATTTTTCATAGCCCAAAATGCCTATCCTAGTACGGACACAATGCAGAGAACACACCATCAATACTTCTTCTGGGCTCTACTGCAATAGTGCAACTCTTAACTATTTAAAATTGAAATCGTATGTGTTCCTGTTTTTTTGATAAATTTGATCTTAAAATCGCAAAATTTACTCCATTAGCCTGGAGAACATGAAAAGCCTACCTCATAACATAACAGGATATACAAAACTCAGTACTTACGAAAATCACAGGCATCTTGCAACTTAAAGATTTTGGCTTTTCCCAGAGACTCAAGGTGAGGAGATGGAGAATTTGTTTCTCGAGCTCAGCCTTTTGGGACTCCCTCTTGGTGTTTTTCTCGTGAATGGGGTCAAAAATTCTATTTTCTGCTTGAAGAAAACAACAGGAAAATCTTTTATATGTTTTATTTTCAAAATTATGTGCATCACCTCACCAGAGGTACAAACGGAAGTAGGAAGTAGAAATTGGCAGCATCTTTGAACTGACTCCTAGCTTTCAGCATTTCAGCCCATCATATCCCGCAACGAGCAGTGTTTTGTCTGCCAGATGATCCAATTTTCTGAAGTGCAACCAGTTATTTACTAATCAATGGATAATGATCAACAACAGGGTGAATTTTATTATAGATAAAGCATGTGAAATAGAAAGACAACAAATACATATAGATTATCATAAGCAGTGGATGTTCGAGAAAATTTTCTAGTAAGTGGTTTGGCACAGATTTTAGATAATGAAGTAGCTAAAAAAACACCATTTCCACCAAAAAAAGAGAAAGAGAGAACATAAAAGGGCAATCCTTTCCTGAAATCAACTCAGTACTTACGCCCCTAAAGACAAACCTAACAGCATATCCTATCCTTAAGTCTGGTTATTCTCCTCCTTTTTAGAAAGGACACCTCAATGCTGAACCTCCAAACATTCTCTACTTTACCATTTCATATCACCAACTTCATCACGTGCCCATTTTCTTGATTTATAAAGTTCTTTCAGAAGTTTTAAATTATCATGCTTAATATTATCTCAACTATTTGTTCTCATTTTTATTTTCAACACCATGATGTGATTCAACCTAGTGTAGTTTCTTGATTTTTTTAAAAAATTCAAATACATTTGGAGATATTCTATTCCTTTCTTTTTATAAAAAATGAATATAAAAAATTCACGACGTAATTAAAAAGAACACAATGCTTATCTAGTGCACCCTAAAGTTAAAAAATCAGGTACCTTTACTCGAGGAATCATCTGATATTGATAAATTACCAACATTGAGCAAAGGCCAATTTAACGGCCTCGCGTTAATTTCTAGCCCTCAGAAGAAAAAAAAATTGGGTCAAAACGTCATCGCTCTGAATCCAAGAATAGGCTTACAAATATGCAGTGAAGTGACTAAAATTCTTTGAACACAAGCACCAATACTCAGAAAAAGCATCTAGGGTCGATTGAAGAGCTTCCCGTTTAACCCTAACGATTATTGGCTTGTCAATGCTCGGTGAGCCATAAAAACTCTTCACCATTGATGGTGGATAGAATCACAATTAGGTTAAGAACTTAAGCCTAAATCCCTGCAATGTATCGACCAACGTTCTCTGGACAATATTCTATTTTTTTTTTTGGAATAACTGTTTAGGTAGATAATAAAAGAGTGCTAGCTACCTGAATAGCTTCTCGAGAAAGGTCAGACTGACAACCAAGTTCGTTCATTAGCTCCCATCCGAGAATTGTGGGCTCGTCTCTATAAACAACCCTAGTTATTGAGTTTACTCTGTCAACAGGGCATTAATTAACAGACCTATGTGAAAACTTATTCATTCTGGCAACGTGTTAAGTAACATCATAGTACTCAAAAGCTATGTTGCGCTGTAGTTTTCTTCTTGTGATGCTACGCATTCATACAGAAAAAAATAATTTAGTGCTTTACCTTGACATGATTTTTATAGTAAGCTTTGGTAATTGGACTGGTGAATAAGTCATCGTCGTTATTCATGTGCTGACCCTGATCCCTGGCTCATTGAACATATTGGCTTTTCCCTCCAAAACCTTCCCAATTGTTCACCAAGCTCAGTATCAAATAAAACACATGCCTTTTAGCCTCAGACACCACAAATTTAAGACCCTATCAAAGAACACATTTCAATTAGTAATGATATGCATATTCATCCAAGCGACCCTAAGGGTTCGTCTTAGGGATGTTGTATCCATAAACCAGTGCTCGGATATGAAATACGGAAAGCATGTCCACATATTACCACTGGATGACAAGTTCTTACAGTTCTAATTCATAGCTTGAAAAACCAATAGCAACTTCAAAAGAATTGGAACTATTAACGTAATTGCAAAACGTTTTTTAATTTCCACACTTTTACCAACAAAATTCCTCCATTTTATATTTAACTTCATTCACAGCCAATTCAAAATCAAAAGGCCGTAATTTGATATGAGCTGATGCCTTTTGTAATAATTCATCGCTTTCTTCTTTATGGTATAAGTAAATGGAAGGAAAATCCTAAATTCAAATAATATTAAAAAATAGACTATCTTATCTATGCACCAACTCTAATATGTAGTGTAGGTGTAAAATACTTGAATAACACACTAAAAAACATCACTAATCATACTAAATCATTAAGCCTCTATTCATACAAACAACTAAACCCAAATTTTACTCAACAAAACCAGCACTCAAGTAAGCTATTAAGGGCCATCAAATGTAATTGTTAAAAAAAAAAACAGAAGAGAGAATGGAATTACTATTTTCAAAGGGGCGGGAGCTTCTTGGTCTTGCTGTAGTAACGGGCGAGACGGTGAATCCTACTTTCCATCAAAATCAATCTGAACTTCGAGTTCTTGTCCTTCATGTTCCTCTCCAAGTGCTTCCTGAGGGCAACTGCTATCTTTATCAAGTGGTACAGATCCTCTGGAATCTCCCTTGCCAGACCTGAAACCACCACCAATCACATTGTTTTCGTTCCAAAAGACACAAAATTAACAGAATATTTTTTTTTATAAGTAGGAATAATACCATGCACCTTCAGAATGTGGAGGATCTTGCTTCTGGTGACGCTCTTCACCTGAGCAATACCGCGAGAATCACGTAGAATCACACCGATCTGTGATGGTGTCAACCTTTTCTTCGCAAATTTGCACATATTATCCTTAACCTTGAAGTTCAATAAAAAGACAAAAATTAAGAAAAGGGAAAAAAATGAACAAATGTACTGAAGATATTTGGGAAAGGGAGCAAAGTTACATCTTGAGAAGAGGTCTTCAGCCAGGTGGAAAGATTTCTCTTGTAGGGGGGGGGGGGGATGAGGCTGAAATGCCCTTACTGTAATGAAAAGCAAAAAAATATGAATATGATACAAAAGAGAACAAAAAATCGCTGGAAAAAAAGGGAAGTACTATAATTATTTTGTTTTCTTAGCTCCTACACCCTTTTCAGTAGTTCAAGCGAAGCAATCTTTAGTCATTGTAAGAGTTTTTATCTTTTTTTATCTTACCAGGCCCTGGTATATATTTTCTGTGCAGCTCACTTCCTGGAAGCATACGGCCCAGTTAGGAAAGGGGACCATTTTCTTGTGAGGGGCAGCTGCATGAGAAGTGTAGAATTTGAGGTCATTGAGACTGACCCTGGCGAGTGCTGTGTTGTAGCTCCTGATACGCGAGGCCCGGCTTGCTTCAGGGAAGAGGCGCAACCATTGCCCAAATCCCCGTACCCGCACACCACACCAATCTTTCCAGAAATCATCTTGGTGGCCCTCATCAGCCCATCCAACAGTGAGTGGCGGCACCCATACAAGTTGTCAAACTCCAATAACCTCGCAAGCAAAAGCAACAAGTGGAACCTCGCAAGAAAGTGGGCCCTGTACAGTCGAAGTTCTTTGTTAAATGATGGAAGAACATTGTGGATAGTTGTTCATAATATTTATTGAACACACGTAAATAAAAGGCGAGTAAACCAAAAAAAAACCTCGGTGTAAAAGGAAAAAATACTTGCAAAGAAAATGTAAAGGGGCTCTTAACATATTTTCAAGATAAGATCTTTATTTTCAGCTACCTATGATTATGAAAAATATCTTTCTTACATTAAAAGGCTTATCAGATCCCATATATAATCTCAGCTCTCGGGAGGGGCCAAAACACATCACACAAAATTTGATAATAAAATAGATATGAAAGACAACCCATTTGGCATTGCATAGGTCCTCATTGAGGAGATTATATTGGGTGAGAAGTTAAAATCTTGATGATAAGCATCATTAGGAATGTCAAAAAAATCTTATAGGTGAGAGGAACCATGCATCAGAAAACTTGAAGAAAACAGGTAACAAAGTCACAGGTAGAATAAAAATCATTGGACAAAATACTAATAAAATATAATCTATGCTCTAGAATATTGTTCTTCTCGACCAACCACATGCGAGACCCTCCACTTGTAGCTCCTGGTCCTGTCGCCGGTGCACATCGTTCTCAGATCCTTCGACGTCCAAGCATCAATAACCAGATCCACCTGCAAAAAAGGTCCACCCAAAAAAGAAAAAGGAAAAAAATTACCATTTTTCCCAACCACAATATTTTCTTCAACAACCTGGTTTCCCCTTTTGTTCCTTCAACATTTCAGTACAATTTAGGGAGAAACAAGAGAAATTTATCATATTGCAACTTACACTTTTTTTTTTGTCAAACGGGTTCTGGCACAATGATTTCTGCTGTTCGACGCCGTTTTGTGAGCTTTGGAGTTTGGGGCATCTGAAGCTGAAGAACAGGCCGACTGCCACATGCCTGAAGCTGCCGGTTGTCGCCTCTCACGCACATGGTCTGTAGATCTTCGACGTCGTCACAGACTCACTGTAATATCCCGTCAGTTTATCAGTATAAATCATGTTTTTAATTCCGATATATTAATATTGTCGAGTATTAATTTTAGGAATTAATTATTTCAGTCATTTCAGTCGAGATTACCGAAAATTATTTTCGACGTTTCGTTTATGTTCGGAATAATTTTGGTAATTAAGCCTTATGTTTAATTAAATTAATTAAACATAATTAAGTGATTAATTAGTAATTAATCACGTATTTTAGTCCAAAGCCGTACGGTTTTTATGTCCAATTGATCTTAATGCCGTACAAAAATTACTCTAAAGTTGGGAAATTCTTTCTTCACTTGTAAGCATTTTGACGTGGCGTTATTTAAGCTAATAAGGTGATTAGTCACCTAAGAAGGGTTATTGTTGCTACAAGTGTCATTAGTAGAAGATGGCCACCAAGGTCTCATGTTATTTCCCTCTCGGCGCCGTGTGTATATAAGAAGAATGTTTGGGAAATTTTTCCCATAATTTCACCACATATATAATTAAGTCCTGCATATATATACACATATACTAGAGAGGATAGTTGAGGGTGGTGAGAATTCGAAAGAATACTCCACGGCAATCAGCACACACGCACGGCAGTCAGTCGCACCGCAAGCTATCGCACCGCACGGCGACGCCACGCACGTGGAGAGCCACACGAACACGGGAGTCCGAAGTATTGCTGTCAGTCGAGCATAATCAGAGGTAAATTCCGTGTGGCTGTAGGCTGAGATTATCATGATTATTGAGTTCAACTTTCAGTTCAGGCTTGCATGCGTGTCATATGTCGTTAAGGCCGTGCGAGAAGCCGTG